CCTAAACTGTATCGTCGCAGTATTGTCTTCAGCTGCGAGGATTTTGTCAAAATATTGCATCATGCTCTTCACAAAATAGATGGTAGTGTACCAACATTCTCTAAAGCTAAAAGTTTATTCTCTGCTTTACATATGTAATCTGCCTCCTATCATCTGCATTCATTGTTCCAAAAAAGATATGTTGCAGCGATCCAATGAATTCAAATAGTGCTCTTTTAGATCTTTTAATATTTTGTGGAAATAGATATTGATTCGTGTTCTTCATATTCTCAACTTGCCGTTTCATTGTGTCTAAAAGCCGATTACACTGCCCTTCAAAAGTTTGTAAATTTTCACAAGTCTTACTCATTGTGATTAAAATTCTATCTGCTTGTTTTATTGTGTCGAAAAATGAGTTTAAGTTAAAGTATACTACCATATTCCATGATGATGCAACTACGTCCACTGATCCGATGTGGTTGAATATAAAAATAAATGCGATGAATATGGTAAGAATATTAAGGAACTAAAGGAACAGGATGGGCGATATATGAGATTACAAAATGATCATATATCAATAAAAATTGATTTCGAACCGGAACTTCAAAAAATCGAAAAAAAAGAATCTGCAAAGAATAGTTTTCATGATAGCTTGAATTCTTGTAATGCATCAACAGGTAATCCCTCAAGTTCTTGTAAAGTCCCAAGGACAGGTGACAGACTTGCAAAAACAAATAAATTTTTACGGAAGTAGGATACAGGATGCAGAAACATATCTACAAATGACCAAAATGTACTTTTATATTAGTGAAGTACACTGATATAGCAATTTTGCTATATCCGGCTCGAAGGACCAAAATGTACTATTATATTATTGATCATAGCACTCTTGGTATATCCGGCTCGAAGGACCAAAATGTACTGATTATATTATTGAAGTACTTTGATTGAGTATTTTGTAGTTACTGATTTTATTTAAAACAATGTTGTGTTTTTATACAAAAATATCTTAAGACTAATTTCTACATCAAGGTTAAAATAATATGATTTTATTGGACTGTATTACATTTTGTTATTGTTTGTAAAAAAAAGTTTAAAAAAGGTTAAAAAAGGACGAAAGTCCCAACACTAGGGATTTTCCTTTTATTGTTTTTATGAATATATTTTATTTTAATAATTTAGATACGGATGCTCAAAAATGTTACTATTTATCTATATTTTTCCTTAGTACATTCCCTTAGTACATTCCTAAATCGTATCCGTATCGTGATTAAAAAATGCACGATATGCAAAGAAAATAAATATGATAGGCGTCCTGGTAATCAAGTTTTAAGTGCCACCCCAATGCCAACACATCCTGGCCATACTCTTCATATCGATATTTTTGCAACCAATAAAAAGAAGATCCTTACCGCAATCGGCAAATTTACAAAGTTCGCCGTTGTTAGGATGTTAGATGGCAAGAGTACTGAAAACATAAGAAACCCGCTGAGAGAAATTCTTTTTTATTTTTGAGTCCCAAAATCTGTTGTTTTCGATAACGAAAAATCTTTTAATTCGCAGTCAATCAGGTTCATGATGGAAAATGACTTAAAAATTAATATCTTCACCACCCCTCCTTACAGAAGTGAAGTAAATGGACAAGTAGAGAGATTCCATTCAACTCTTGCTGAAATCATGAGGTGCCTAAAACAGGAAGATTCAAGTAAAAATTTTACAGAACTGGTTGAGACTGCTGTGAACGAATATAACCACTCCATTCATTCGGTAACAAATAAAAGACCTGTCGATTTATTTTTTGGAAGAATATTAAATTTTGGACCAGAAGACTATGAAAAAAACCCGTTTAGCGAACTATGAAAGGCTATTGGATAAACAAAAAAAGATATGAAATATCATAATAAAAATAAGGAGGAAGCTAAAGACTACGAACCCGGACAGGAGATTCATGTAAAACAAAACAAAAGAATAGGGACTAAATTGGCTAAGCGTTTTAAGAAGGAAAAGGTGAAAGAAAATCACCACTCAACAGTTTTAACTGAATCTGGTAGGGTGGTGCACAAAAATCATATTAGATAAGAAGAAAAAAATTACTTATAATATTTAATAAAGCGCATAGCGCTGCCAAAGAACTGTGTTCTCTGCATACTAGACGAGGATTGAGCCAATCAATTCTTTGACTATTTTGACTACAATAAGGTTTCCCATACCGCGCACGGCTTGGTACACAAAACAATGTAATATTACCAAACAAAAGTTTGTTTTAATTTAAGCAATTTTCTTAGAACCAAAACCATTACCGTCCGCTCACTTATAAGCTATTTTTGTTTCTTACTCACATGTCTTATTTCTTAATCACATGTATTTAATAAATTAAACATTTTGCACACTTTTACAAAATTCGCAATTCCAACGACACATGCCAAAGAGCTGTGTAATGTTAATAATAACCATAATAATATAAATGGTAATCCATCAATATTTTATTTAACTTTTAATAAAGCGTATAGCGCTGCCAAAAGATAGAATATTGGTAATTGCTCTAATAATATAATGTAAATCTATTAATATTTTACTTAACTTATAATAAAGCGCATAGCGCTGCCAAAAGGTAAAATATTGATAGTTATTATAATAAAATAATAATTATTCTTTTCCTTATTAACTACGTAATTAGTTATTATAGAATGCACAGCGTGGTTTAAGAAAATATAAAATAATATAAAAATTTTAATAGTTGTCGTTTTTCAAGTTTTTCTGAGCCGATAGGTTATGAGAGAAGAGAAGAAGAAAGAAGAGTAACTGTGGTAAATTAATTTTAAGGAGTAAGAGTGAATGAATGAATGTAAGAATAAAGAAAACAATATTTAATTCCTTACTAAATAAAAAAATTGTAGTAAAAAATGTTATAATATAAAAATTTTTTATGGAAATTAAATTGGAAAAATTAATAATTAATAATTAATAAATTGTATTTTATGAATAAATTTAAGTAAGCTTGTAAAAGTTTTAAATGGAAAAAAAATTGTAAATTATTGAAATTAAATTTGAAAAAATTATAAGTTAAACAATAAATTAGTTATTTAACTTTGTAATTATATTTTATAAATAAATTTAAGTAAGCTTGTAAAAATTTTAAAATTGGAAAGAAAATTGTAAATTATCAAAATTAAGTTGAAAAAAATTATAAGATAAACAATAATTTAATTATCTAATATTATAATTATTTTTATGAACAATTGTTAATAAGTATTTAACTCAATAAAAAATGGTAGCTTTAAGTGGGAGTGTCGGGTTCCTTTTTGCGAGGTGGAGAGCGGATGCGGTGTGTGAAACTAGGTACAGGGGCCCAAACGAGGACGTTTGAAATTAGTAAGGGAGGAGTTAACTCCCGCGTACCCCGAAATCCGGCCCTGTGCTTAGTCTCATTAACGGAGCAATCATGCGATGTTGTTCGAACGCATGGTTGCTACCAAACGGGATTTCCATTTGTTTGTCTGGAAAAGTCCCGTTTGGCTTCGGTATCTCCTAACTTCGCAAAATTGCGCTCGGTCTCTCCTGCTTCAGCCTCTGAATAAGAAACACATGAAATTTTTGCTAAATTAATAAAAATAAATATTTAACTTATATATATTATGCATTATTATTTATCTGTTGTCTCATTTTTTATTATTATTATTTATACTGTATTTGTTCATTAATTTAATAACCTATTTTTCATTTCGTTTTATTTATTTTATTACTATCATTTTATTTTATTTTTATTTTTGTTTTTATTTATGTATGTATATATATACATATTTATTTCTTCATCCATTATTGTTTATCTGTTTCGCATTTATATATTATTATATATTGTATTTGTATATTAGTTCATTTATCCATTTTTCTCTGCTTATCCACTCATATGTTCTCTTACTTGTTAATATACATTTAGTTATTCTATGTGTTTGTTTATATATTCCTCTCATCCATCTACTTGCTTATCTTATTCATCCACTTAGTTTATCAATTTTATCCCTCCATTCATTTATTTATCCATTCATTTGCTCATTCTTTTCCTTGGTTTATTCTTTCTGTTTATTCATTCACTTATTATTTATTTATCTATTCATTCCTCTATTCACTATTTTATTCACTGTTGTGTTTTTATTATAGCCGCCGCTTTTTAATTCATCTCGTCATATCGGGCTCACATCTTACGGATTTCTATATCAGCAATTGTTATCTCCATGATGTCATCCAGACCCGCAATATCCGCCGGTCCGCATCCATGTGTGGCTAACACAACACCCATCATTACCCCTTTATCAACCATATCAACCGTCCCATCAGGAACAGAAACGGATCCCAAACTCATGGCCTCATGCCCAAAGCCAGCAACAGACCCACAATCAAGACCACTCCTTGCCACAAAAAGCGTCACTAAAACTCCTGCTAAAATCGTTGCTAGAAAACATAATGTTGCCCAGGTCATAGCCAAGAATGTCATGGATACAGCCTCTTGTATAGTCTCTACGGTCCCCGTCACTACGACCTCTACCATCCCATCACGTCTGGCCCCCTCTGTCTCAGCATTTATGGGCAACTCTCTTCCGTCCCTGTCCCCACAGCTTTTCCCCACTGTACCCTCTCTTAATTACTTTCCAGCTCTTTACCCTTGTGCGATACCTGGGGATTTTATTAATCTCACTACAATCACTGTTCCGTTAGAGATGCGTATTTTGGTTAGTTTTGGTCCCAATTACTGTCCTGTTGCTCCGCCTACCATCTCCAATTACTACACAGCCCTGGCTCAGTATTACAAGTATCACACTGAATATCAAAATGATTTGGGACTTTATTGTAAGGCTTTGATGGATGACCATTATGTAAAATTCTTGGCTGCAATGCGTACTCATCGTGTTCCTTCACCTTACCATTCCATGCTTACGCATTTATTCAACGTTACTCATAAATTCCTTTAGGCTCGTAATGATTTATTGTTGGTCCAGTCTGACAAGTGCAAGGCCACTATATTAATGTATAGGGATTCTTACATTGGAAAAATTGATGACCTATTGCAGAGTTATATTAGTACTGGAGCTTGTTCAATATTCATCGGTGATCAGGACCAGCTTTCTCGCAAGATTCAGGCGCAGTACCGGAAGGTTGTTAATCCTTTGTGTCGTCTTCATGCTGCTAAACCTAATCTTTATCCCTCCTCTATAAATGCTAGCCTTAAGAAGTTATTATCATCCTCGCCAACCTTCCCTTATCTATATGGAACTATCAAGACCCATAAGCTTGACAATCCGGTCCGTCCGATTTGCAGTCCCATTCAATGGTACTCTCACCCCTTACACAAGCTATGTCAGTTTTTCTTATCTGCTGCTCTCCAGAGTAAGCTTTCGTGTCATAATCTGTCTAACATTAATAAGCTTACCGATCATTTACTACAATTGCAGCCTCGTCCAGGTTATGTATTAGTTACAATGGCAATACGAGAAATGTACCCAAGTACTCGCATCCCTCCTTTATGGGATTTACTGCAGTTTTTTATGGGTCAGGATTGGTTTAAAGCTGCTTGCCCTATCGATGTCAGTATGTTGCAATCTATATTAGATTTTATACTCCATAAGGCCAATTATTTCACATTCAATGGTGATTTGTATCAGCAACACGAAGGGTTACCACAAGGTGGAGGGGCCTCTGGCTTATTGGCCACCATATTTCTAGATGCTCAGATTGAACTTAATTATAATCCATTGTTCTTGTCCCATAGTGTTTTAGCTTGGTGGAAGTATATCGACGATGTGCTCCTCTACATGCCTTCTTTCTCTGTTTCTAGTTTTATGGATGCTTTTCCCCGTCTCATTGGATACGACGTAACTTATACTGTAGAAAAACCAGATCTCAAATATAGTGTTTACCCTTGTGTTGCTTATCTCGATCATCGTATTTTCCAATCCTCTCATGCTTTCTTAGTAAATGTCTATCATAAGTCCACCGAATCCATGCGTTTGACCCATTATACTTCACATACATCCATTAAAGTTAAGCAATCTGTACTCTCTACTCATTTGCGTCGTGTATTTTATCGCACTAGCGATACTTTCCTTTCCGTAGATCTTGCTGACTGTCTTGTTCGGTTCTATACCAACGGTTATCCTCAGTATCTTGTCCATTCTGAACTGGAAAAATTACTCACCAACTATAATGAGCCTTATGGTCAACCTTTGACTTCTTATCGCCGCTCTCTCATTTCTAAATTCCTCTATCCATATGGGTTACCAAATGGCCAT